ACGCTTACTCAGCACGCTGCGCCTAGGCAGCGATCACCAAACACCGCTCACCGTTCCGAAGTCCGTGTGGCAAACGCGGCAGGTGCTTCTCAGGATCGCCCGATCATGAATCATTCCGTCAAGCAGCTGATGAAGCGCCGCTCAGCGCTGACCTTCAACTTGACAAACGACGAGTCATACGGAAACAAAGCGGCTCCAAGTCCGACTTGGAGATTTGCCTTGCCTGCCTGCACTTTGATGTTGCCTTCAACCCAAAACCCGGCCGCAATATTAAGAGGAGTGGAGGGGGGACGGGGGGAGCGGGTAGGTGGGCTTGTATTTATATGTACATATATGTATGTGACCGGCTCGTGATATTGTGATTCATAATACGCGAAAAGTTTTCATAAACAAATTCGAGAATTGCGCGGGCAGCTCCCCGATAGCTCTGAGTAAGAGTCAGAGGGCGCGGGGGCGTGTTAGGTATGCCTTCCTTGTAATAAATACAGTGTATGATGAAGTGTTTTTATAAATTTTCTTGCGCCCGGCACAGTCTGAAAAATTTCGAAAAATTCCTGCACACAGAGATTTGTTTTTGTTGTTGTTTTCGGTTTTGGTTTTGTTTTTGTTTTTTCGTTTTTTGTTTTTATAAATAGCTCGCTGACGAATATTGAAATTATGTGCACGGGGCCAACAGAAATGTCGCCCCGAGGCCGCGTTAGTCACCCAGCGGCGAGCGAGCCCCGGGATCGCAACACAGCCGTGCAGGATTACTGGGAAACTTTGGATTGGTTGAAATATACATATCTCGAAAATAGCTGCAAGTACTGCCGTACTTGGCACGTTATCTAATCTATTTGCTCGTCAGACCTGTCTGATAAAACTTCAGTCAGCATTTTAGTAGTGGGCTTGTTTGCGATTGTGTTAATATCAAGTAGAGATACTCTATATATGTATATGTATATGTACATATATGATCTGAGATAAACAAATGGTTCGGGCTCCGTTTCGAGTTTGTTTAGCTGTGCGTCAACTTTTAAATGCCTCGGCTAGTTGTTAGCATGCCTCAAAAGAGGCCTCTGTTGGCGACCAGATAGTAAAGTTTGATAAGAGAACTGCACAAATACTATATACACATACATATGTATGTACATTCATTTGAGCCTAAACGTATGGACAAGTACAGTGAACGCTCGAAAAATAGAATTTTTAGAAATTCTTTAGAGATCCCAAGAATTATATTCTATCGAAACCAAGAAATAGAACTAGTCTAAAATAAATTATTAAATTCTTTAGATATTTAAAAAGCTCTATTCTATCGAAACCAAGAAATAGAACATTATATTAATTCATATTGATTTTTGATATTTTGTATGGAAAAATATGGCTTTCAGATATAACAATATTCCGCAAATTAGAATCACCTGTGAAACCGAAGTGTATTAATTAGCGAGCTGCTACTGTGTACATACTGTACGTATACATACATATGTATAAATAGTGCGTTATTAGGGTACAGTCTAATCAGACAGGCTGGCGTTACTTTCAAAATTGATTGCTTGGGCTTTGTTGGCGCTTATCGTGTGTCAAAAGTTGCCGTGGGTCGTTGTTGCTTTGATTGGTTTCTAGGCCAAGTGGCCAGTGCTGAAAAGCTCATTTACCTATTTATGCTCGGCTAGTGTTAATGAGAAAACCGAATCCAAGCATAATGAGACATGAGCAACACGACAATTCACTCTAATGAGACGAAGCTTTCAAGCAACACTTAGCGGTGCTTGCCCCCTTCTCGCTTGCACTCGCACACACATATACGCCAAGTGCTGTTATATTATGATGAATGAAACGCAGCAGCAACAACGGACAGCAACAATGAGAAATCATAAGTAGTGTAAGAAATACAGACAATCATAAGAGTAATAATAATAAGCATAAGGTGACGACGGAGCCAACAACAATGACAGAAAACGAATGCGCAAAAGGCAGGCAGTGGCAGTGGCCAGGCGGTCGGGCGGGTGGCGACAAAAGCGGCGGCAGAGGCAAAATCATGACTCATAGCACTCGTTCACAATATTTTTTTCTTCTTTTATTTCGTGCCTGAGTACTAATGTGTTTTGGCAGCACACACACAGCCAGCAAGCAAGCAAATGAGTGAGTGAGTGGGGAGAGCACGAGAGCATGGTGGTGAGAGAGCACCGAACAGAACAGTTACAAAAATAATGCATACTTGAACATGTTTTTGGCTTTGAGAGCTAAGCGACAGGAGGTGGGGGTGTGTGGGTGTTGGTTTCTTCCTGAAACAGCCAGACAAATGTTAATGGAGAAGATGAAGCTAAAGCAACAGCTGTTGCTGCACACGCACCTGACAAGCAACAGCAACAGCAGTGGCAGCGGCAGCCGGCTGTGACGTCAACGTCAGCGCATTGTCGAGGCCACGCATCAAGGATAATGCCAACAAAAGCGAGACGCGATGACTCATAAACAGGAACTAAACGACGACGGCCGAGCGCAAAACAACAGCAACAACAATCAACGGACGTCGGCGTCGTCCTGAACGACGTGCGCTTAAAAATAGAACATATGCCAAAGAGCGAGAGCAGCGACGCAGCAGCGCGGCGGGCAGCGGCAGCTAGCGGGGGTGAAGTACCGCTGGCGGCGGCGGTGGCGGCAATAAATAGCAACAATAAGACGAGAAAATCGATGCGGATGGCTGAATGCTACAAGGAGTGTGCCCCCGGTGTATGTGTGTGTGTGCGCTGTTCCACATTGCACTGTGCGCCATGCCGAACGATGAGTCATGCGACATGGTTACAGTGGCGGCAACAAAAAACATAAACACCAACAGTAGCGGCAGCAACAAGAACGTGAAGAGAGAGGGCACTCGGGCAGGGTGACAACCCTTATCAGAAAGGACGTTTGCGGTTGTCGCCGCTCCTAATTTGCATAAAATTTCCACTCACACACATATGTAGATACTGCGTAATGGCGTGAATGTGTAACTCTGTGCTGGACGTTAACGTCATCGCCCATTATGCAAAAAGCAAACAAAAACCAAAACACAGGAGCAGCACAGTCGCCGTCGAAGTCAGAGTCGTAGTCGCAGCCGAGTCGCAACAACGACGACAAACAATGACGACGGCGACGTCGTCGCAGCCGCCATGCTGTCTGCCAACGCCAACACGCAACAACAACAACAACAACGGCAACAACAATGACGTCGCTTTGCCGACGAATGGAGTGGAAAGCGTAGGAGCTGGCAGGCGCTCAGAGGATGTGAGAAGTAGGTGGCGGCGGCGGGCCCTTAAACAGTTACGCTTGCCACCCTTTTGAAATCTGGCAGACAAATTGTTGTATACCCTGCGATTTAAGATTGCGAAATAAAAGGGTATATCCATATTCATAGACTATATTATTTTAGTGTTAATCAAGTAAATCCTTTTTTTGAAAGATTTTTATATTTTAGAAACAGTTTAAAGCTGCATATCCCACAATATTACTACTGTTCTAAGGTTGTTTTTTGTAAGTAGAAAAGTTGTGTATGTAAAATCATTTCTGTCAGATTAACGAAGAAGGGCATAATCATATTCGGTGTACAAATGGCTGTGTATATCGACAAGTCTGAAGTTAAAATACGGCAAATTTTGACTATGTTTCCAAGTACAGTTTATATTATAGAATCCTTTAAATGAATTTTCATAGCCTATAACTTAGTTGATTTTCAGGAAGTTTTCAAAGTAAATACGATGTAACATTTAATTTTAATTGTAAATTTTTATATCTTTTTGGTATTTCTTTTTAGATGCTAGTCTTTACAATCTCCAAAAATATATCTAAAAGAAATAATTTCTTTTCTTAATTAGCTGCACGAGATTTTCCAAAGTCAATCAAACTTGTCGCGGAGCATTTCTCAACTGTTATAAATTAAAATATTCGTATAATATAATAAACAAGAAAATGCCAAGCTCGTGCGCACACGTGCCGAGACTTGTTAAGCCATAAAGCTACTAATACAACAAAAAGAAAAAACATAAAATAATAAATGAAATACTAAAAAAAAATTATAAATGTACAAAAGCGTAGAACACAACTTTTGCCCGCGAGAAAAACGAAAATGGAAAAATGCGATTGACGTCAGCAAAATATTCCATGGCTATGGATACTATGTACAGACAAAAGATACATATGTACATATAGGTATATATATATAAATATATTTATTTGTATATATACATATATATATATAGGTATAGACATCCGTATTACACTTAAAATTAACTAAATATACGAGCTTCTTTGAATATGCCTTGAAAAAAGAGGGAAATGAAAAAACTGCCTGTGGCAGCAGAAAACAAGTAAGAGTACTCTAGTCGGGAGTATCCGACTAGAAAATACCCAAATCGCAGCACAATTTGATGTGCTTCTTGTTTACTAGCTTCGGGGTTTGCAGTCCGATTTTTATGAACTTTTCAGGACTTAGGTATGATCTAAAGAAAAACACAAGAATCTGCCTTTAAAAATTATTTTTTTATATAAAATCATATAACACCAAATATCATATATTAAGCTCTCACAATGTACGAGTTAAGCTTCGATATTTATCGATATGGAAAGAAATATCGTTAAAAATAAATAAACTCGTTCTGTTTATAGGAAAATTTCTATATCAAATCTTAAGTTTCTAGCGACGGACACAGCTGGATCGAGTCAGCTGCTCGTCCTGATCCGGAAAAAATATACACTTTATGGAAAAAACAATATACCCTTTTAACCCGTTCTCGATGGGTTCGGGCTATGAAAAAGAAATACTAAACAAAGGCAAACGAATTTTCCAAGTGGTAGCCACAGCAAAAAACCGTTACGCAAAACATTCGCCCCCCTACCCTCTTCCCTCTCCATCGCCCATAGCCTAATAATGCCCTTTCGGCCAGTCACGTTTTATCAGCCTTGGATGACTAGGCGCAATATAAATTATGTGGCTTATAAAACGCCGATAGCTGGCTATCGATTGTTTTTTGTGAACTTACCTATGAAATCGAATGCCTCCTGGAAATATTGCTTAATATTTTGATGGGGCGTATCGCTGGCAGGTATTTTGCATATACTTGAGGCCCTGCAGATGACTCTCGCTGGGACTTTGGCAGGTAACATTTAGGACACAATTGGCGCCCACGCTGCTGGGATCATCCGCATCGCGTCCATTGCCCAGCAGCAGATGTGGGAATACTGGCGAGGCGGGATGTGTTTCGATATCTAAAATAAATAATCGATAACATATATTATTAATTGTATATCTAAAATTCTTTAAATAGTAGAACAACTTGAAACTAGCCTAGTCGAAGCATACGCACTTCTCTAGCGCAGAAGATCTAGCTCTAGATCTTTGTTTCATTTAAGTTATTAAATAATAACTATACACTATACCCTTAACTCCGCTTGGTAGAGATCAGAAGGCACTGATCGATTCCAGCGCAAAATAAACCAAAATAAAGAAGAAAAAAAAAAAAAAAGATCTTTGTTTCTAGACCTCTACACTAAAAGAAACTATAAGCACATTAGATCGAGCAATTCATTACGCGCCAATAAAAGCTTTTTTAAACTTTCTACAGTTCCTAAATAACCTTTTCTATAAACTTTCAGTGTTTTACTAAATTAATAATTAATAATTACATACAAAGACTTTTTTATTTCTAATTTATAGAAAGTTAATTTCTTTTTACCACTTTAAGTCTCTTCTGCTCATGGAAATTATTTTTCCAATTTCTTTAAATTGTAGCAAACTTTTCAACTTTGTAGATTTTTTTCCTGATTTTAATAACCTAATTTCCTATATTTATTTATTATTCAAATTATATTTCTTTTAAATGATCTTTGATTTGTAAATAGTTGTACTCAGTTTCTATGGAGAAGTTGTTGTATTGAATTCAACTTTTTTTTGAGTGTATCTCTAGCTGTTTCTTGGGGTTCGCGTTCGGTCTGCCAATTGCGATGTCATGCAACAAAAGAGCCGTTGCCACAAATGATGTTCATGATGATCAGCGTTGTGTATCTATTGTTGTGTGTATGTGTGTGTGTGTGTGTGTGTGTGTGTGCGGGTGTATCTGTGTGTGTTTACAATAGCGTCTACGTTTTCTACAACAAATTGTTTATTTTTGTTGTTGCTGCGCCTTCCTTTCGCTTGTTTTTGCTTTTGTTGCTGTTGTTGTTGTTGTTGCATGAGTCATGCCAGCAATCGCACAGTTTAGTTTTATTGGCAGTTGCTGTGGGCGGCTGCGGGCCAAGCAGGGTGGCGGCTGGCTAGCTGGGTGGGTCTTTTGGGGGTGGAGGTGCTGCCCCCGTTGTGGTTGCTTTGCCATCTCACAATATTTTGCGTCGTTTGTTGGGTTCGTAGCACTTTCAATGAGGCGCACAATCGTTCAGTTTATAGCTGTGTAGCTGTGTATCTATGTATCTGTATCTATGTATCTATTGTGGCTCTATGCTTAGTTGTATGCTGGCTGCGCATTATGCTGCTGGCTGTTTCCAATTCATCGATTATTTCTGTCGCTCGCGTGTTAATTGATAGCCAAGGCAACAACTGGCCCAATGTTTCGGGCCCATGCACCCAAGCACACACACAGACTCACACACACATGTATAGTTGTATTTAGTACATGTAATTACGTTTGTGGGTCACAGTGTGGCACGGAAATCAATTGCATTAGTCATACACCTTCGGGGTGAGACCCATAAAACACACACACGAGCTCACAAACACATACAACACAAGTAGCCCAAAAAATATGTGATTTGTCATGATATGAAATGCGTGGTATTTACGCCATCTACTGATAATAAATATATTAACAGTAAGTGCAAATAAGTAAATGCAATTAAATTACAGAAACAAACTCGAACAATTAATGACTCAAAGCGATTGTGACGTAAACAGGAATAGAAAATGCATTGCAAAAGAAAACAACAACAATTCGAATGACCTGTGCGTGAAAGCTAGCGCAAAACGCGCTAGTCTCTGTGGGTCTGAGCGGGAGGACAGGAGTGTTAGCTGCAATAACAAATCTCAGCGCTGTTGTCATAACAGCAGCGCGACATTGAAATCTATTTGCATCATAGCGCGATCACATGCCTGACCAGTGACAGCATTAACAGCAGCAGCAGCAGCAGCAGGAGCAGCCCCCTTTCGCCGCCGCACATTCAGCAATTAGATTTAGGGCTGAGCTTATAGGCTTAGCCCACTTTACACTGTTCAGAAAGCTCAGCAAGCAAATAGTGTAGCGTAATGAGTAATTTGTTACATTTGGCAACACAGATGCCAAAAGTTCGACATTGAGCATTTTTCTCTCTTCTCTTCTCTTTTCTTTTTGTTTTTGTGTTTTTTTTTGCTGTCGCTGCTTTTGTCAAGTGCAATTATTGTTATTATTGTTGTGCATGTTTTGCAGGTTGTGTGCATATGTTGTATTTCATAACGTGCAAAATGAATAAAACAATCTGAACGAGAGCAAAAATGTCATGTTTATCTGGCAGCACGTGCTAAAACAAAAACAACATTGTTTGTTTATAATGTTAAGCAGAGCTTTACACAGCGCGTGCGAGCGAGAGAGTGCTGCCAAGAGCAAATACTGTGTATACACAGATGTGTAGTGTTGGAGAAGGTCTCTCTAAGCTAGGCTGGGACGAGGAAATGAAATGCAATGAAAAGCACAAACAGCGCACATGCAAATATGCAGATAACAGATTTGACAGCTGATAGATGGACAGTTTAAAAAGATAACTGGAAGTGGAAGTGGAATTGAAACTGCAACTACCACCGAAACTGGTTTATATGAAAAGTGCTAAGCACTTGCAGCGGAATACAAACTATCTACGTACATAAACATATTAAGAAACAGTTATTTGCTCACCGTATACCGCCGGACTGGAGCAGCTGCGCATGAGCGGCGGCGTTCGGCCGCCATTGCTGCCAACATTCATTGCTGCCGTTGACGTCGACGTCGCCGTCAGCTGCTGTTCGTCACATGCCAGATTTTCCCTGGACCGCTTGTTGTTGGGATAGTCCTTGTGATTAGCTGCAATGCAGAGTAAATACATTATATTAAGATTTGTTTAATTCTATTTTGGTTTCTCTGCGATCAAATGACGTCAGCTTTCGATGTGAACCAATACCTAAAAACTTGTCGCGCCGACTCACATGAATACATACATTCACATCAAATAAACAAAAAAACAACCGCAAATATTCGCTGCTGCTGTTTGACAAACTGACGTAAGACATTTATTTCGGCACGCAGCTTGATTAGCGCACAACGCAGCGGCAGAGCGAGGCAAAAACGTAACCAAAGCGAGGCCCAATGCAAAGCTTTACGACAAAAAAAAGGGCACAAGAGCTTGGAAAGCGCTTATCATGGGAATGGATGGCAGGGAATAGGCAACCGCATATGTGTTAGTGTATGTGTGTATGAAGTAGAAACCTTATCAGTCGCAGCCGCATAAACAGTTTCTAGTGGCTATGGCTTTTATGCTGTCCAGGCAGAAAAAAAACACAAACGAGCAACAATTTGTGTAGAGCAGAAACTTCGCTTATCAGTGTCGAGCGACCTCAAAGCCTCAAAAGCCAAAAACCAACAAAAAAGTTTTCACTCGCGGCAGGAAATGTTGTGGTGGCTGTTGTTGTTGCTGCGGCTAACAGAAACAAGTCAAATCGCATGCCAATGCACTGCACACACACGCATGCATACATGTGTATGTACTGAAACTTCGCCAAGTTTTAAAGTTGTTGCTGCCCGCTGCCAACTGAGGCTGTTGCTTTTATTGTTGTTGTTGTATTTGTTGTTGCTGTGCCGACGAATTCGTACTCGAAAGGTCGTTTCAAAGCGGGTTTCGTTGCCAGCGTTGCCAGTCTGTCGCACAAACCTGCTTTGCTTTACATTTTTTTTCTCAACGAACAAAAAAAGCTTCTTTTTTCGTTTGCTTTTATTTCTGAAAGACACGCGAATGTGAGTCACGTATGAAGTAAGTAGAAACCGACGCTCCGCCACTGTTGCTGCCGCTGCCTCTGACTTCAAGTCTGACTCGTTGAAAATGCTATGTCGGTAGGGCACAGGGCGCAGGGGCAGGCGTTGGCTCGCACGGCAGACAAACGTTGACGACGCTTACGCTAAACAACAGTGTTGCCAGCTTTTCAGCAGAAAAATATAGCTAGTTCTAAGTGGAAAAGAAGGTAGAAAACAAAACACAATTTATTTAACAGAAGCGGAAGAAACGCTTATGAGATTTCCGTGGACAGATAACAATTGATAATTTACTAGCGGACATCAATTTACGCTTATAAAATGACATATTTGTGCAATTTATATATGCGGCAAAACGTAAAGACAATTCAAAATGTAAGCTGGAATTTCCGCTGCCCATTGCTTTACAAAAGAACGCCAGATTTGACGGGAAAAAAGCGTAAATGGCAGCACTGCTTACTACTACTGCTGCTGTTGCTGCTGCTTACGTGTGTGCTGCCGCTGCCGCTACCCCCTTTGCATACAAGCGGGGTACGCTTGAGCGCGCAAAGTTTATAAAGTAAACAGCAGGCATTCCAAGCGGGAAAATTGCCTCGTTTTTTAATCTCAAAATACTTGTGAGTAATTCTAGCTAATATTAACTAAATATTTATTTTTGTATTTTGTATTTGGTTCTGCGACTTACCACCAATGCGATTGTTGTTGTTGTTGTTGTTATTTTGGATTGGCATAAATAGCAGTAGACACGGCGCTTCTCTCTTTATCCGCATTTTCATTTCACTTTTATGACTCACGCTGTTGCTGTCTCCGTCGCGCTCACAGCAATTGCGTGTTGTTGACGTTGCCGTATTGTTGCTGTTGTTGTTGTAGTTGTAGCTGCTGTTGCTCGTTTCACACACACACATGCAGATACATTCATACACACGAAACACACACACAATGAGCTCTCAAACACTTGACTGGTTTAAATTTAATATTTATGCTGCCTATTTGGTATATAATCTGTTTTATTATTATTTGGGGAGGTGCGAGCCCGAGTCTTGTATTTATATGTATATATTATTGGTTTATTAGATAATCCCAGTGCGCTTATTTGTTACACTTGTTGAGCGGCCGCGAGCACTTCCCGTTCTTTTTGCTGTTGTAGTTGTATTTCCACTTGTTGTTGCGTTTTCAAAATTTTGAACACGCGCACATTTATTTAATTGTTGTACAAATGTTGTACGTTCTCGTTTCTATTTCTGTTTAAGTGACGATTACACGCGCAAAGGCAATTTCTGGACCAGCAGCTTGGTTATGTGATACACCGCGCTACAAGATCACGTTTCAGATTTTGTATGCTTCTTTTTTTTGCAATTTCGTATCACTTCTCTGCCTAAATTGCGACACGTATTTACTATGCTTATCCGCTAAGTGCCCATGCTCTATAGTCTCCGATATATTTTCTGCGGAATATTTTTCCAACAATATTGTCAATTTGTTTCGGCGTACACAAAAATACGTCCGTTCTCGATGAAAGTCTCTCGCGTTATGACAACAAACGAAGTGAACCCCGACAGAAGTAACGCTGATACGAAACACACACGAAACGAAACACACGCGAGCTCAGTAATACTACTAATACTACCACACCGAGTGGCTGATGCAAGTTGCGTGTGCAAGCGAGAGAGTGACTGAGAGGGGCGCGACAACATCTGTTAGTGAGCGGCAATACAAAAAATACCAAAAAAAAATTGCGAAAATGCGCTAAAAATGAACGGCACACGAATCTAACTGGCGCCAAATAGGTTTATTTTATAAAAATGATTAGTAAAAGTGAATAAATAAACTAATTAAGCTGTCAACTGCTGTTAGACTATATATTTTTTTGTATTAATATTTAACTAGCTGCAGTGCACCCACACTTATTCGCTTAAATACTTATTTAGCTCAGTAAATTTACTTTTAAAAATTTTGGTATTTCATGTACCGGCGATTTCAAAGTTTAAAAAACTGTATAAATAAAAGTACAATAATATCGCAGAAAAGAACATTGAAGAGAATATTTGTTGTTTTTTTCATAGTGATTTTTTAGTGCATTGTTGTACATTTCAAACCAAAACGCGTTTGCTGTTCACAATTCTAACGACAGATGGCGCTGGCAAACATTTTAAAATGAAAATACGCTAAATTTGAAAATACCATTTTAACGACTTTTAGTACACATTGAATAAGAGAGAGGTTATTAGGGATTTGGTGGCTGCCAGCCGCCGAAGGCACGCTCCAATTCCACAGCCACACGCAGACACAGACGATCCTGATAGGGTGCCGCAATCACCGAGAATCCAATGGGCAGACCCTGGCCATTGAGGCCCATGGGAACATGCGTAGCCGGCAGACCCAGTATATTGAACAGAAGCGTATAATCCACGCCCCACAGTTGGAGGGGCGTCCAGCCATGCCTTGTGGCAGGCGCATGCATTGTGGGAAAGAGCAGTACGCCGGTTGTGCCGAGCAGTTCCTTGAGGATTAGAGAGATTTTGGGTTAAGCAGCAACAGCCCTTAATTTGATATACCCACAGTCAACTGGCCAGCTAGAGCCAGCGCCTCGCGGTGATAACTTTCCAGACGCTGGCTGGGCATAAAGGCGTTGGTGCGACGCATTAGATCAAAGATCAGGGCATTGGTTGTATAACGGGATCTACCCCACAGGCTGCGCAAGAGCTGCATCAGGGTTTGCCCCACTTGGTTCCGTTCCGTAGCTGCCGAATCCAGCACAAAAGGCATTTGGCCCAGACGCGCAATGCCGCTTAACGCAATCTCCAGGGAATCGCCAAAGCCCGTCAGATTTGCCCGCTGCACGGGCAGTCCCATTGTCTGCAGATGCACCACAGCCTTGCGTATGGCCGTTTTGATGTCCTCCTCGACAGCTTGATGCATGCCTCCATTGAGACCTTCGAAGCCCAGGGAGTAGTGCACCTGTAGCTGGCTCAGCGGGATCAGCTCGTGCAGACGCAGCTGCGCCGCCGCCTCTGGCCCAGCCATCAACTCCAGCAGCTGGGCGAGATCGACAGCGAATCTGGTCATCGGACCCAGCACCAAATACTGCTGGAAATCTGCATCGCTCGAGTTGGGAAAGTGACCCGATACGCTGACCACGCTCCCAGTGGCTTTGTGCCCGAAGATGCCACAAAAAAGACTGGGAATGCGTATGGAGCCGCCAATGTCCGAGCCAATGCCAAAAAGCGAGGCGCCGGCGCCGTTCAGTGCGCCCTAAGCGAAGATTGAGCAATCGCAATGGATCTTACTGAAGTACAGTGAAAACTCTGCTAACGGACTAGCTCGCCTGGAGGGTTCTCTAGTGTCAAGCTTGATTATCGGGAGTTTAAATCAATACAGTGAAAACCCTCTTGGGCGAACAGCAATGTTCGGGTAGTTTTTTTTCACTCCAGAGGGGCGTCCGCTTAATAGGGGGTGTCCAGATTTATACGGTTTCGAGAGGCATGTCCGCTTACTAGGAGTGTCCGTTAGGAGAGTTTTCACTGTATACATACTAGTTTTTATCGGAGCAACTGTAGTTGTTTACGCCAGAGAGCTTTCACTGTACTACCGTTCACTCACCTCACCGCCCGAGCTGCCGCCCGGCGTGCGTTCGAAGTCAAACGGATTCCGGCAGCGTCCATTTAGCAGCGTATCCGTATCCGTGGAGTAGCAGTACTCGGGCGTGGCGGAGACCAGCAAGGGTATTGCACCGGCGGCACGTATCCGAGCCACCACAACACCATCCTGATCCGCTCGCCGCTCACTTCTCGCCAGGCTGCCCACGGCAAAGGACATGCCGGAGAGAGCACAAGACTCCTTCACGGTAACAGGCAGACCCAGCAGGGGCTGCTTAACGAACAGCTGATCCGCCGCGCCGCCGGCAGCGGCTATCAGCTCATCCGCAGCGGCTGCCTCACGCAGCGCTGCCTCGAAGCGCGCCTCCACCACGGCATTTAACAGGGTATTCACGACTTTTATGCGCTCGATATAGGCGCCCACCAGCTCAACGGAGGTAAGCTAAAACACAAGAGTGTTTAGATTGTATGGGGTATTATGACTTTGTCGAGAAGTATGTAACTCATAAGAGATAGCCTTGTGGAATTACTTTTAAGAGGCAAGTCAATCTACCCATATCCATCTGTCTAATTAGCATGCCAAATACCCTGCAGGGTTTTTCAACTTCGGCAAAACCGATAACTGTTCTTCTTGTTCTTTCTTGTTCTTCTTCTTAAGTTGCTCACCTTGCGGCTGCGAAGTCGCATGCGCAGCTCCTGAATGCTAAGCGTCAGCAGAGGATTACTGTTAGCTGGTAGACTTTTCTTTATCTGACGTCCACGTGCCCAGATAAATGCATATTGCAGCGCGTGCGCAATAAATGCGACAAATTTAATGAATATTAATAGCAAACGTAGTAAAAGTTCCATAGCGTATAAGGTACGATGAAAAAATTAGCAAAACACGTAACAATCTTATTCGCGGCAAAGCCGGCAGCATACTGATTATATGAGTGCGAATGAATGGATGAACAAGCCCCAAAGACTTGTTTACATAAAGCAAGGCCAATTGAGAGAGATAAAGAGAGCGCGCACGCAAATTGTTTGTGTGTGTTTGCAGAGCGTATTAAAAAGTGATATCGATAACACACACACCCACACACAGCTATTGGAAGTTCTCTTGCGTATTGGCTGTTTATATTGTGTATGTCACTTAACGATCTGAGCCGAAAGCTGAGAGAGCGGGCGAGAGCGAGCGTAAAACGTAAGTGTGCGTTAGCGAAGCTGTGAGAGGGAGAGAGAGAGGTAAATCGAGAGAGTGTGTGTTTAATTAAAGCCATTGAGTTTATTACTCAATGAATTAAAGCCTAACTCACTCAGGTTAGCCAACACTAATATTTTCGTGAAAGTAACAGTATATGGTATATCGATAGAATAAATGCACACTCACGCAGCCGTTACGATTTAAATGACGAGTTGTTCATTTATTTTTTGACCCGTAACCTAAGCTAACCATTATACATAATTGTCTAGGAAATTGATTATTGTGATCTCGGGTTGACCAGCTGATGCAACACCGGCGGGACCCAGCCATGAAAGACGACCTCCAGTTCGGCAGCAATCTGCAGGCAGAGTTTGTCCTGATATGGCGCCGCTATCACCTGAAAACCCACGGGCATGCCGCGCACATTCAGGCCCATGGGCACGTGCGTTGCCGGAAAGCCCAGCACATTGAAGAGCAGAAGATTATCAATGCCCGTGATATTCACCAAAGATGTGTGAAAGCACAGCGCGCTCGTGTGGAATGTGGGCAGGAATAGCACTCCGCGATCACCAAGTAGTTCCTGTAAACCAAAAGAAACAACTAGAGTAAATTCTATCTAAAAAATATACGGTCCATGCATTACCATTAGATGCTCCTTTATCGGGCCGACCTCCTGGCGATACTGTTCCATCTTCTCAGCGGACATCATGCCATTCATGCGTTGCATGAGCTCCAGAAAAAGCGCCTCCTTAGTAAACAGCGAGTGGCCAATGATGCTGTTAAGCATTTCCATGAGCAGCATCTTCATATGCGGCGGCCGATCGGACTGTTGCGTTATAATGCTCGGCAGACCCTTCAGATCAACCAGGGCCGTGATCGCCACCTCAAATGAGTTGCGCAGAAAACTGAGATCCAGCTATATAAGTTGATCAAAGATTATGTCTTACACAATGTTGGCTATTACTCATGCACTACGACCCACCAGTTGCGGCTGAATGCCAGCCTTGGTAAAGCATTTGATGGCGCGCACAATTGTCAATTTGATGTCCGTGTCCACATACGGATGCGTCACACCGTTAAGCCCCGAATAGCCGTAGGCGTAGTAGATCTGCAAATTCAGGAGAAGAACGTTGCAGTCGGGTGTAGTCAAATAATCGATACTCTGTTCACAGTGTCACAAGAGTTGAATCTCTAAAAAAAATCTTTTTTTTTTAATTAGCTTGCTGACTTTAAAACTGTAACACCAATCACTCTCAAACGGTTTAGCAAATATCGATTAAGTCTTCTTTTTTTAAAGGAGCTGGAAGCACTTTTCCGCTAAAGCAGGTTATCTGGCTGACTGGAATAAAAGCAAGACGGACATTGCAAATAACTAATATGCCCTTTTTCTTTTATGAACAGGGTATACATATTTGCTTTAGTGGACAGAGTATATCCGACTTTGATCTCGAGATATATCTGCTCTTGGCATGATCTGCCGGACGGACAGATGTGATGGCAAGACGGACATTACAATTAACTAATATGCCCTACTTCCTTTTGTGAACAGAGTATTTTCAGAATGCTCGAACACTACTTTAATCTCGTGAAGTACTCGCCCTTTACTTGACCTGACGAGGGTAAATACGAAAATATATTGTGCGTAGCACAGTCAGACGGAATGACCATGACCAATATGCCATGTTTCCTTTTGTGAACAGAGTATACATATTTAGACTATTTGCAGCTTACTTTAATCTCCTTGAGCGGCACCGGCTCCTGCATTTTCAGCTTGTGCTTATTGTCGCCCGCCATTATCTCCAGGAGGAGCGGCAAGTCGCGCGCAAATCGCGTAATCGGTCCTATTTGCAGGTAGCTAGGAAAATTCTTGTCCACCAGCGAGTAGGGAAAGTGACCCTTCACAGAGGTGAGTCCACCCGTGGGCTTATGGCCATAGACGCCGCAAAACATTGCCGGCAGCCGTATGGAGCCGCTAATGTCGGAGGCGACACCAAAAGTTGTGGCACCGACGCCATTTAAAGCTCCTTCGCCGCCAGAGGAGCCGGCTGAGGTGCGTGCCAGATCGTAGGGGTTCACACAGCGTCCGTTGGCCACCGTGTTCGTCTCGAAGCTCATGCAGAACTCGGGATTGGCGGATACCAGCAGCGGTATGCCGCCAGCAGCGCGCACCAGCTCCACGACATCCCCATCCTTGGGCGCTTTCATGCCCTTGCGCACAACGCTGCCCACCGCATAGGAGAGTCCTGGCAGGAATATACGACAAATCAAGGTGTTCAAATTGTGGTTAAACTAGTTATAGTGGTCTAGTCGGGAGTGCAGATACCCTGAACTTCCATGCATGCCTATACAAAAGCACACATACATATTTACACGCACGAACGCACGCTCGCACAAACGAGCTGTTCTTTCGCACCTTAGCCCTACTTTATAGGAAATGGGTTCTTGAATAACTTAGGTGTTTATAGTCCGATCATTGTCAAACTTTTGAAGCCCCAATTTGCCACCCAACTGTCTAAAAATACCCAAGCGCAAAGACCTTTTATTCACAAATGATTTCTTTGGGGGAGCTTTCCACAAAGTGAAATATTCCTAGTCAGTGTATGCTAAACAAGAACTTATATACCACGTTTAGTTTCTTTGGCTCTTGTATTCTTTGAGTAATGTTTAACAAATCAGATCTCCAAATCAATATTTATAGATATTTTTTAAGTGGGAGAGGATATTGAAAAGAAATTTTAAACATATCCTCCATTTCGTATGTGAGCATCTATATTACAAAACGTAAATTACTAGCTCTTGTTGTTTCAGAGATCGAAGCGTTCACACAGATGGAAAGAGGAACAAAAGGACGTACTAGATATATACTTTAAAGTCTCCTACTTTGTTAAAGTCTCCTACGGACAGTTACATACATTTGCGCAAAGCATATCCCTTAGATTAATTTTAATGGGTTTGGGGTAACAAAGTGTTGAATAGCCTGTAGCTTACCTTTTAGCCCGCATGACTCCTTTACGGTGAACGGTATGCCCAGCAAGGGATATCGTGTATAAAGCGCCACGCGATCAAACTCTGAGGGTGCCTTGGCGATCAGCGTATCCGCATGCGTGGCCTCACGGAGCGCCTCGTCGAAGCGATCCTCAATTACCGCATTCAGCGAGGGATTCACCTCTCGCACACGCCCAATATACGCACGGACCAGCTGCTCGGAGGTGAGCTGCATGCGGAAATAATTGAATAATTGGGTATTTCACAACTTCACAATTTCGATTACCTGGCCACGTCGCAAATCCGTCACCAGCTGCACAACCGCTTTTGTGAGAATGGGATTCCGGATGGGCGGGTAATCGGGCTTCTTGCGTAGTATCAGCAACTCCAGTATCTTATTTATCAACAGACCCAGATAGGTCAGGATCAAGCCCATGAAACGTACAAATAAATCCATTGTGAGTTTCGGTTTCGCTCAACGATCGCAGACGGGGTCAACAGGTGGGACTAATTCAAATGCGTTGTTTTTCGTACTTTGAGCTTCCGACAATTGGAAGTGGATATCGCGTTGTTGCTAATGCTCGCTATGCTCTGGAGCTGCTCGATGGGTATCCAACTGGCCACTACTTGATGTTTACTGCACACTTTGGCGTTTCAAAGCGGACTACGCGCTGCCCCGACACCCGAGTTCGGAATTAATTAGCTCGGATAGTTTCAATTGAATTTTGATGTCAAGATTTAAAAGTGTTGCAAATTGCAACAATTTTGATGACAGCCAGGGCTGGAAAGCGGAATTTGGATAACAAATTTCGTTTTGCTTTTTAGTGCAATAAAATCTAGAACCCTTTTATATCCCGCATTTTAAATAAGAAATATGTATTTTAAATTGTTTGCTAAATTTGGAATTAATAACAAAAACTTTAGTTATGTACATAATAATGCACATAAAGGCATACGCAAATTAAATTTTGTCTGCCTTAAGTATAAAGAGGAATTCATATGCATATACATACTTACATAATACACATATATAAATACACTAGCGGGTATAACCCGGCCTTGCCCGTGGCACGTATGTTATATCAATGTTCTCAAACAAATTTGAAATGATTTTGAAACTGATCGGACGGTAAACAAATAACTTTCATACAAACGTTTTCCGCCAATTTACCACTGTTGCGAGTGGAATTTCCCAAATCGCTGAAATACGTATTCATTAAGTTCTTATTGAGAGCTTTGAAAATAAGTTTGAAACAAATCGGACAAGACTTAAAACTTCGCCCAAAAAATCTTTAAATTGCATTCCCCCGAAGAAGTTTGAATTCTGCGAAAAGTGTGAAACACTTATCAAATGATTTTTCTTATAGATCTCTGGAAATGAATTTGAGCGCGAAACGTCCCCCACCAAATCTTTGACCTCCATTTCCACCAAGGAGGAACGGATTTTCCTAAAAGTGTGAAACACCCCTCAAATGAATTTAAACAAAGATCTTTGAAAATAAGTTTGAGGAAGATCGGATGGTAAACAAAAAAGTTACATACGAACGTTTTTCGCGATTTTTCCACACTTGCGGGTGGAATTTCCCGAAACGCCGTCTTAACGTGCACCTACATCACATAAGGTAGCTACAGTGAAAATTTCAGCTTCCTATCTCTTACGGTTTTGGCTGTGCGTTGATCACCAATCAGTCAGTCAGTCAGTCAGTCAGTCAGTCAGTCAGGACAAACAGTTTTATATATAGACATACATCTAATTCATGAGAATCGCATAGTAGGGCGCTATTTAAAAATACGCTTTGTTTTAAATTTGCAGTTTAGCTGTAGCTATTGACTTTGCAAACACACAAAGCTGCAATTAAGTGGCCTTGCCTCGGTCAAGTTTTCATAAGATTTTAAGTATTCATTTTCCCTCCGTTTTCCGCACGTAAAAAAACTTAAAAAACTTTCTGGACTGTGCACTCCTCATTGGCACTCAGCGCAATGGATTTAAGTTGTGAATCAGCTTTCAAATAACATTTTACATAGCTGTTTCAAAATGAAAATGAATTCGCTTGTGTAAAATTTTTTTAGCATTTTCCCAGCCATTTATGGACCGTCGATTTTTTCATATAGCGGATTAATTTCTGATTTTTTTGTAGACCCAAAATCATATTTGTAAATAATTTAAAATCTTTGCCTTTTTTCCTTTATAGTAAAGTCTTAAATTGATATAAAAAAATTGTTGTTAATTCCCCGCTACAACCTCATAGCTATAAATCAAATAAGGAAACAAATTTATGCTGCCCACCAATATAAGCCACAACATAAATGCAATTGACGTTTTGAGAATATCCAAATATTCCATAGCAGAATAAGATCTACTGTAGCAAACTTCATCAAGATTGGTTAAGAAACACACAAGTTATTAAAGAAAACGTGTTTTGGCTGGCCTCGAGTTTGGGACAGCTAGCTCAATTTGCAAGAATTTCTGTATATATGTACACACACACATTCATGCGCGTCTTCTTTGAATTCTCTCAACAGCATTACAATTGCGATTGTATTGTTTTCTGTGCTGCTATTTTAGACTTAATTCTTGGTCTAGCTGTTGAGTAGAGGCGTTTGCAAATAGCGTGGTCTGTTACGAGTTCGAGACTTATCGAGGGAACACTTTTTTTTAATGTATTTTATTCCCTAGTCGGGAGCTCCCGACTAGAGCCTCTTAATTGTTCCTTTCAGTAAAGTCTTAAAATAATATAGAAAAATGATTAAAAATTAAGGAGTATGATAAAACATTAAAAATAATTTAAAATCTTTACTTAAGTTAATATTAAAAAAAAAAACAGAAATTGGCATTCGATACCAAGTTAAAATTGTTTAAAGGGTAAGGACTCACTTTTCATGGAGATGAGAGCCTCACTTTTGAGTTGGCATTAATTGGAAATATATAAGAAAAGTAAGTTTTATATTGTTTTTTGCTGACATAAATGTTTTATTTATTTAATGCTGTAGTTATTGTAACATGCTTTACTTAGGGACTAAGACAAACGAAATGCTTAAGTTAACTAATTAGAAGGTAAATGAAGAGTTGTTAACGGTTAAACAGTTAAATTTAAACAAAAATCAAACCAATTAGGCAGCTGGGCATAGATTAAAGTAATAATAATCTATATGTAAACTTTTCGAGACATATTTAAACAAATAACAGTGTTTTACAATATATAATATAATATAATATAATAATTAATACGTATGTGTTAAGTGTAACAAAGTCAACTAATTCAGGCAGCTCGGCATAGACGCGAAATATAATATATATCTATATATAACTCTTTTCCACTTATAATACAAATATATGTAGATATATGTGTGTGTATATATATATATAGATACAGCACGATACTACCCCGCTGGGCAGTTGGTGTAGTTGTCGGTTCCCGATATTCAAATAGAAATTGACATTTATACACGGATATTTTAAACATATGTATATAGATTTATATATAAGAGCATTTTTTTGTGGTTTTGTATATTTGTTAGATATTTTTGTTACATCAATCTTTTGTTTTTGTTTTTATATATTTTCTTGTTGTTTTTGTTGCTGGTTAACACTTATTGTTGAACATTCAGTTGGGTCGGATGGGTGTATGCCTCTGTATACAGAATATTTATTTATTTATTTTTATTTATTTGTTATTTTGTGAATGCAATTTGTGTAAATATTTGCATATCATTTGCAATCTCACAGTTAGGAATATATATTATGTGTGTTGCATATATGCTATGATAAATGAAAAAAAAATCTTCAGTTGGGATATGTAATGCATATGTATTGGGAGAATATAGTCATCATTATTATTGTTATCATTATTATGTATGCATATATTTAGCTGCATAGACTATTTACTAATATAAGTACTATTTACCACTTTTTGGGCTCATAGCTTAATAATATATAAACATTAATTTATTTATTGTCTAAAACATTTGCCTCAACTTTTACTACAACTCCGTTCTAATAGCATCTACTAGTCGCTAAACAAATAGTTCCTTTCACTAACTAACACACACCTTTGGCTGACCTTAAATTACAAACACCGCTCAAATTTTGAATTCAATTGGTGTTCCACAGAGTGGGGAGGGGCGGGATCCACAATTTGGCGGAGCATTTAACCATAATCTAGAGTTAGAATAAAATTGGGGCTCAACATTCCGCGGGGCTCTCGGAAATGTTGTGTACCGCTTGACAAATGCAATGCCAAAGACGGATCCGGCTGTTGTCATCTCAATCAATCTCATCTCATCTCATAGTCATCATCATCATCATCATCATCATCATCATCATCATCATCATCATCATCATCATCATCATCAGCCCGGAGGCTCGCTTAGGTCATGTGCAGATCACCTTTGAGAATGCGCATAAATGTCTTCTTGAACTGCTGATTGGCCAATGCGTAGCAGAAGGGATTCATTGGACTGTTGGCATAGCACAGGAAATAGGAGAACATATATAGATGCTCATTGGTGCACGGCGGATTCCGGCAGAAGCCCTCGACCAGGGCCAACACATGATACGGCGTCCAGCAGGCCACAAAGCAGCCCAAGATGAAGGAGATAGTGCGAAACGCTTTGCGTGCACGATTCTCCGATTTGGACTTTTGCCGGCTGCCAGCCATGCCCATGACCAGGGGCAGGGCCTTCTTGCTCTTGAAATGCTTGCCAATGGAGTGCATGAAATGCCGTTTGCTGGAGCCACGACGCGAGACACCGCCATCTTCATCCAGATCTTTGGCATCCTTTCTCATGCCGCCGGCCAGACCAGCCGAGCTGCTGGTGGTGCCCGATGTGGAGGGCATCTTATTGGTGTTTGAGTCCGACGCTTCACGCTCATCAATGCGCTCCAGCTGGATAGAAACTGGTGCTGGTGGAGCCACTGCAGCAGCGGTTCCAGCAGCTGCGCCTGCTGCAGCATTGCCTGTGACTGGCATTGGTTTAAGCGGCGGCGGTGGCATGGGAGAGTAGAGCACCGCATCCTTGCTGCTCGTCTCCATGGGACTGGAGGCGCGCCGAGGCGGACAATCCGCCTGCACACGGTCATTGCGTTGCCCGGGCACATCCAGCAGGCAAATGGCCTCAATGCAGCTCTCTCGCCGACCCTTGGCAAAGTCCTCGATGCCTGTGTATGAGACGAGAAGACGTTTTTCAATGGCTACCTGCTCCTGGGACTGGGATTGGCTCTCCTCATGACACTCGCTCCGTCTCTGGCTGGGCTCAGTCGCTGGAACAATGGGGGGGCTGGATCTTTGGAGCTGTTTGCGTGCGGGTGGCGGTGGTGGAATGGCACTGCGCTGTGCTGTGGTAACGGGCATGGAACGTGGAGCGGTGCGTGGTGCGCTGCTCTGAGAGCAGCTAACGCTATTGTCATTGGTGGTGGCCATCATGGCGGAGCTCTCATCCATATAGCGCAGCTCCGAGTTGTTCGTCATCAGATCGTAGCTCATGGCCAGTTCGCTATTGCCGGAGCTGTTGCCAAAGGGTCGATCCGAGTAATCGGACAGGGGTGTGGGGCACTGAAAGGCTTCGGGCGGCGGCAATATGGCCTGCACCAGGCACTGTTGCACCTGCTGGCGCGGCACCTCAATGGGCGCCAGATCCACGGGTGAGAGCGGGTCATGCTTGGCTGGTACCGAGGGTTGATGGATATCAATGAGACGGTCATGCTCGGCTATCTGGGACAAAGTGGAGCAGGAGGTGCGCTTGGGTCGCTCAATTGGTGTATGCGCCTGATAATGACCCATGCCCACCTCCTCCTTGCTCTGGGCGCGCTGCAAGCTCGACTGGTTAATTGGGTGATGGTGTGGCGATCGTGCGCCCATGGAGTGCATGGCCTCAATTGACTTGGAGTTGGTGGTGCTCTGTTGCAAGTTACCTTTGCTGCGTGTCGCCAACAGCGCCGCCTGTGCACCAAACACCAGGCCAATGGACGAGCGCTTGCGCAGATTGGTCAGCTTCTGTTGATTGAGCAGCTGCTGTGTTTGGTTAACAGAGGACTCCTCATCCGAATCAAAGGCTGGACTGCTGGAGCGTTCGCTCTTCTCTGCCTCGGCTGCTGCACGCTTGGATTCCTCAACTTTGGCCTCGGAGGCGCGTCGCTGTTCGGGTGTCATCTGCACAATGGCAACTGTTTCGGTGGCCTGCGCCAACGGATTGGCTTGGCCCGAGCCGCTCAGACGCTTGACGGCCGTGTTGCAGCCGCCGCTGTCTACCTCCGATAGCTGCACCTTAGTTTTCAGTATCTTCTCCTCGATGACTCCAATGCCCGCAGCATGACCAGCCATGCCGGACATGGCGCCAGCGCTCAGCGCCACCATCGACTGCATCTTGCGCTGTTTGGCCTCGCTCCGCTTCTGCATGTCGTAGGCGGTCTTATAGATGCCCGCATACAGCACGAACAGCACAATCAATGTTGTCCAATAATAGCCAATGATCAATGCCGTATTGAATACCGGATCCTTGAGAAACTGCACAGCGCATTGGCCCGGCAACAGATCGCGTTTGCCCGTAAAATGCTCCCAGCCAAAGATCGAGATGAAGAACAGCAGCGTCGGTATGATCCAGGTGATGGAGACCATATAAATGACCCGTGTCCGAGTACGCCAGCTGCGATACTTTGCCGCGATTTTTACCGAACAGTAGCGATCGATGGTTATCAACAGGACGGTGTATTGGGAGACCAGGCAAACGGTATAGTCCACAGATAGCCACAAGTCGCAGAGCAAAGGTCCCAGATCCCAATAGCCCTTCAGCACATATACCGTATAGAAGGGCATGGAAACGGTTCCTGCAGAGACAAGTGTGTATTAGTAAATATATAATTAGAGCTAATCCCCCCATATATATAAATCCTTCTTGAAGTGATTATCACAAACCTATTTTAAAATGAGTATATCGAACGGACAATCAGATAGTCAATACGGCAGTAAGTCAATCAATAATTAAATTAGTCAGTCAATCGGTCAGTCCGATGGACCGACTAATCTACCAAACAGTCAATCAATCAATAAATCTGTCAGTCAATCAGATAATCCAACAGTCGGACAGTTAATAATTCCGTCACTCAGTCGGTCAATCCAGCCAGTCATTCTGTCAGTCACGTAGTCAGTTAATCAGTCCATCATTCAGTTAATCAGTCAATTAGTCAATCCGCCCGTCAGTAAATCAGTCGTTCAGTGAATCCATCAGTTAATTGGTCAGTCAGTCCATCAATCAGTCAGTCAGTCGGTCCATCTGTCAATTAGTCAGCCAATCATTCAGTCAATCATTCAGGTAGTTAATCAGTCAGCCAGTCAGTTAATCATTCAGTTAATCAGTTAGAAAGTCAGTTGTTAGTTATTTATTCGGTCAGTTAGTTAGTTATTCGGTCAGTAAATCATTCAGTAAGTAAATCAGTCAGTCAATCAATCAGTAAGTATTCTGTCAATCATTCAGTTAAGCGTCAGTCAAATAAAAATTTTGCATAGAGATGAGTCCAAGCTTTTACCTACCTATCAACATATCCGTTGCGGCCAGTGAGGCTATAAAGTAGTTGCTGGGCTGTCGTATATTCCGATCCACAATAAAGGCGAGCAGCACGAGAATGTTGCCACCCACCGTCAGAATGATGCACAAAAACAAACACAATGCAATGGCAATTGTCTGCCAGGTCTCAAATGGCGGCAACACGGGCACCGGTCCACTAACCTCCACGGGCGTGGCACTTGTCTCCGTCGAGCTGTTCCGGCCAAAGTTGGTCAAATTGTAACCGAAATTGCGATACCATTGCAGCTGCTCATTTTGTGACCAAGTGCTAAAGTCCGTAATCTCGCCATAGATCTTGGCCGCCTCCAACAGGCGTTTGCACTCCGCGTGCTCAATGACCCTATTGTAGAGGCCACGGCAGAGATTCTCGCGCTCCTTCCTTATGCGCCTTGAGAAAGAGATTTAAACGATATATTTCGATTTTCAGAACGCTTCTTTTCTTCCCGTAACACAAATTTTGGACAAAAATCACTTATTATCTTGATTTAATTCTATTCGAAACGGAGTCGGATGCAACCGACTGCGACTACTCTTTACAGATTTTATATAAGCTAACACGAATTAATAATTCTGATATTGCAAAGCAAAATTGTGAATAACTTCAAAACTATAAAAATTATAATAACAATAATAATAAAAAAATAATATGAATAAAAAAATATTATAATATAAATCATAACTAAAATAAAAAGGTATTAATAATAATTATAATGGAAAGAATAATAATATAGAATAGTTAAACGATAATAGTAATACAAATTAATAAAATTAATAATAATAATAATAATAATAATAATAATAATAATAATAATAATAATAATAATAATAATAATAATAATTAAAAATAATAATATTCATAATAATAATAATAATAATAATAATAATAATAATAATAATAATAATAATAATAATAATAATAATAATAATAATAATAATAATAATAATAATAATAATAACAATATAATAATATTATTAATAATAATAATTACGAACAGTAATGACAAAATGTTTTTTTTTCCATTTTTACATTGCTCTTACCATTCCGTAATCCAGTTGGACTTAATAGTGTATATAAATTCGGTTCTATTTGCACCATCCAGACCATTTAGATAGTCGTCGCTGCCATTAAAGCCAGTTGTTTTGGCTAGAGTGCGCATTTTGAGTGGTTTTTTCAACTTCTTCTTCTATTCCAATTTGCTGTTGTTGTTGTTGTTCTAATTTTTAATGTTAATTTCCAGGTTCTGCTCCTCGGTGCTGTCGCTGTCCATCTACTCGTGGTTGGCCATCGCACTGGCTGACGTCTGTGTGGTTGGCCTTGTCTCTGGCCAGGTGTAGGTGCGCAGCATCTGTAATAGAGGCAATAGCGATAACAACAACAAATCATTTAAAGGAGTTGCCTAGGCATTTGCTACTGCTGCCGCTGTCTTGGCCTTTGCGTTTGCTTCCGTCAAGTTTAAACTAATTTTGTGGCCGTTAACTGGAAACGGGCAGGAAGTCAAACTCATAGCCAAATGCAGCCTGGGAATGCAATTTCGCCGGCGACATTTGCATCCTGCAGCTGCTGTCCTTGATGCTCATTATGATGTGGCACGATTTGTGCCGTCTATGCCACTTGATTTTGAAGTGGCCTCCGCTCTACTCTGCACTGATTTTTCTCTGTGTGTTTTTTTTTCTTTTCCCATTTAATGCTATTTATTATTTAAATCTAAGTGTTCTCAGAAACTGGCAGAACTTTGTCCACGACTTGACTTTGCGCTGCAGACTGTTGCATTTGATGCTGCCAATGTGCACGGATACCCGGACTACCCGGGACTACAAATTGCAACATCAAATTGAGTTAGTCAAAGTTTTCAAATATAATTTTCGAACAAATCGATAAGTTTGTCTTGGCGAATTTCTCAGGAACAAAATTCAATTACGCATGCACAAACATGCATACATATTTTCTTTTTACCATGAACCACCCATTGAAAATGCGTAAAGAGGGCATAATGCTTTTGTGCAAATGTATGTAACAGAGAGAGGGGAAGCATTTCCATAAAGTGTTTATGCTCTAGATGAAGAGCTGAATCTCCCCGAATGTATGTCCATATCTCTTAATTCTGAGATATCTTGATGTATTTATCATAATTTTGTCTTTATTTTCATAATATCGATAAATATCGATTTTAAGATACGGATTTTGAAGGATATACTCTGATTACGAATATACCACTTCTTGAATACCTCCCACTGATCTCACCGATCTCCAATCTCATCGATCTCTCCGATCTTAAATTTAAAAAATTTTATTTTGAAAGCATGGACTTGCGCGTCGGTATATATACATGGTTGGGCGTAAGATTTGGGCCCCACATATTGCACAAGGATCGGACTATAAGCACCGAATATACTTTAGAATGCATTTCCTTTAGTTTGTGTGATTTCTTGTATGTTTAGGTTTTAGCTATCTTCCAGTCGAGCACACCCGACACTCATACATGTATCTAATTCAGTTTCAGGCCTGTTGATTGCCTGGAAATTATTTACTTAAATCAATTAAAAACATTTAATTTGCCTTTACTGTAAAAGTTAAGCCTTTGTTTTCGCACTGTGCATGTGATCCTGTCCGACTGATGTCCGACCGAATTCCAAGAGGCGGTACAGTCGGGCTTTCAATCCTTAAAAAACTTGTGTTTCTTGAATCAGTTGCACCTCAATCAAGCTGCAAAACCCAATTTCTATGCTAATTGAGTGCTATCAAAAGTGGAGCTCAGTTTCCTTGATTGTCAGATGCACAAAAATGTTGGCCACAACATTGAAATGGGTCAAAGCTGTTGCCAAAAAGAATCGAAAAGCTCACCTTCGACTTAAGACTTAGACATTTACAATTTTTTATGGTAAATATTCTGTTTGGACTTTCAACTTTCATAGCTTTGACAAAGCTGAAGCATGTTTATGCTAAATATTTTGACATTCGCTTTGATTCAGCTGCTGCAGTTAAATTGAATGTATTTTCGAATGTTAATTTTTTCACTTTTTTTTTGTAGAGTACCTTCACTATTTTGGAAGTTATGATTTTCTGTCGTAATTGACAATCTTAAAAAATTATAATAACAATTTTTTTTTCATTATTTTTTTAAAATATATTATTGTAATGTGCAACTTGTTGTCAAAATCATGTTAAATCCAATAATTTTGTCATCTTTAAACTCCAATAACCTCAATATCCAAACCAAATCGGATTTTAATTTGATTTTGGATTTTGCTTACAACTATAAATACTATAAGACAATGTGTTGGCTAAAGAGTTTCCGATTTGTTATTTAACATGATAGGTGACCCAGTTACAATAAAATTCGAAATTCGAAACTCAGACTAAGTAGAATATTTATTTGATACGGTAGAGGAACTTCAAACATGTAAGATTCTAATATAAATACCAGTTTCCAAATAATTTCAAGTTCATATCTATCAATTATTGGGGTTTCACTTTGAAATAAGACAGTTTTTTTTTGTTTTTAAAGAGGCGTTAACATTTATCCCCTACTTAGTCCATAAATCTAAACATTTCATTGACATGAAAGTGAGCCAGGCTGCTCCTCACGTTTGCGTCTTCATGCTGATACGATTTGCCTTTATGGGGGTACGTGGAACGCCTTAACACAAAGCCGTTTGTTGGCCTTGTGGTTTTGCTTGCTTTGCCTGCGAATTGACCGCAAGCGGATCTCCACATTCAGCATGGCAGTACAAAAGCTGATGAATGCCCTGAATGGTATTTGCTCTTAAATCCCAAAAGCAGCTTTTAACGTTGTATGCAAATATGAGCTGCACTAATAAAACCTTTCGAGTGGGTCTTATGTTAAGAGTGCGCCAATTAAATAATATAATATAATATGTTAAGCAAGGAGTCGGCATGGACAGAGCTCAGTACAGCGCAAGCAGATGCAGCTTATGTCAAAGTCAAAAGGTGCCGAGTGGGCAGCTTTTTGGTGAACTCACTATAAGATATCCTTTAATTTACTTTTTTTTTTAAATAAGATTCCATGCATAATGCAGTCTATACTTGATTATAGCATTTTTTGTATTATAAGCTCAAAATATTTATAATTTATTTTTAATAATTTGTCGCTCGTTTTTTGAGAAATTTCCTTTCATTGCCTTTTTGTCCCCTGACAAAGGATATATTATTTATCGCAAAGTGTGTGTTGTATAAAGGGTGATAAACTATATATATAAATATTCAGGACAGAAATTATATGGTATGTACAGAATTATATGTTATACCAGGTAAAGAAGATATCTGTGCGTACTCAACTACCCCTTATACAAATGTTTGCTGGGCATGAAAATGAATTTCGCTGTGCCGCGCTTGTTGACACAACTCAAAATGACAAATCCTGTGCGCAATTTAAGCCATCCTTTAGATAAGATTTTCCATTTTTCGTTTTTTTTTTATTCATAATGGCGCGCTTTATGCCGCCTTTTGCCTTTTGCTTTTTGCTAATAATAAACTTATTAAATGTGTAAGCCAGCCGTTCTTGCGCTGCTTCGAGTGTCTCCCCGCTGCTGCTGCTGCTTTTATTTGCCAAATAATGAAAAATAATTTAATCAAGCAAACAAAAGGCAAGCAATGGCGATAACAAAAGGGTTTGGCCAGGTGAGCAGCACCTGGTACTACCAAAAAAAAAAAGCAAAAAAATAGGGAACTGCGGCAAAGCTCAATGCGACCGCTTGTCAAATGCAAATTGATGGGCGGAGGCGGATAAGCTCTCGATTTTGAGCCAGCTGCATGAGGGCTCCGAGCGTGATTTGTTTTTTTTTCACTCTGTTCACAAATTGCAGAAGATTATATTGGTTTTATGCAACGTTCGTCTTTTATGAACTTTTATTTTTCTGCTTTTTGAGTCTTGAAGCTTGGCACAAGTATATAAGTACAGTATGCACTCAAGAAGGACAGACTAAGGATCGGAACCAAAATAGCAAGTATCGATGTTTCGCAAAGATCGAGTTTATTTCAAATCTTCGATAAATCATCTGGCTTCTTAGAATCGCAAAGAATCGATACCGATATTTTGTTTGATTTTTTTCCATATCTCGGAGCTTTTAAGAGCTAGATACGCCAAACTTGGTTTGTAGCGTCTAGTATAGGCCAAAAATATTTACCTTGCCTTTTTTTCCTTATCCATTCCCAAATAACTGAAAAAAATGCTCATTTTTAAAGATATCCACACACTTTTCTATGCCATTTTTTAATGATTAATGTGGTGGAAGAAGAAGCAGCGTATTTGTGTGTGTTTTATGTGTTAATGTACTAAAGGCATCTAGCATGTGTGTAACGGGAGCTCATTGCTGTTTGTAGGGTATCGTCTAGTCGATTACTTCCGACTAGAGCATTCTTATTTGTTTTTTTTTGGGTTTTCTGAGCACCCGCCTAATTTTGAGGCCATGCAGTTTGTAGGGCTCAAAGCCTGCGGTTTTCAATCATGCGCTAATAACCACGCCAGCTTTGACAGAGTCGGCCAGCCACGTCAGGTATATATCAGAGCTGGCTAACAAAAGCATTTTTCGCATTCTTTTAGACCAACTGGCTGCAGCGGAGCCTGTGCTTAGTGCGGGCGTCAAACTGTCAACAGCAGCGGCCATTCTTTTGGGTCAAAGCCAGCCGTGCGCCAGCTATGCCACAGATTATGAATTTGACAGCCGCATGCCCCGACCAGAATGGGGTTAGAATCTGGCCAGGTTTTGGATTGTGGGCGGGTTGCGTGGGTCGCATAATAAACTTTTGCAAGTGCGCTTGGCAAGTTTTAATTACAAAACGCGTCACTCGGCTTCTTTTAGTAATTCTCGTAGTCCAACTTGTTATTGCTGTTGTTGTCGGGCGTTGCTGTTTAATTCATAAGGCTGCCATTAGATTGTTCTCCAAGGAAGTGCCTTGGCTTGGCTTCGGCGTTTGCATTTTAATCAAAGCGAAATTTTAAATAAATATTAGCGCTCAGCCAAAGTGATGAATAATTTTAGTTATTTTCCTTATTTTCAGTCAGTTTTAGTCAACAGACGCGTATGTTGCGCATACGACGCGTTGGCCCCTTTTGACTGCTGCCATGTTGCCAATTGTCTCTGGCGCAGACTATTTCAATTTCGCCTGGACAAACAGCATACATATAGAGTTTACTTGCGTTTGGGGGCGTGGCTGCAGCTGACTTGTCCTTGGCACGCTTCTCGCATACCAAATGAACCTAGACTTGCGGAAAGACACACGAGCTCTTTGCCAAGACGCGTGTGCCGAAGCCACAAACTGTCCTTGCCGTTGTGTCAGTGGCAGCGTGTATAACTGTTGCGCTCATTTAGCATTGTTGCCACACAC